TAGTATATATATATATATATATATATATATATATATAATTATGAAGAGAATATAGGAATGCATGTGTATTTTCAATCATAACAGAGTACATATAATTATTCAGTATTAAGTAAGTCAGTGTCGTTTAACATTAGAATCGTAATATGAATGTCATTAAATCTGCTAGGTAAGATTTTTGCGTGATACTTGAAGCACACGCTTTCTTACACGCATAATGCATCATGCGAATCAAGTATCTCGTAAAACGTGTAAGGTGACACTTCGAGTTAAAGTCAAACGAAAAGATCCTCTAGTACAATAATATATCTCACCCCGAAAACCGGCTTGTCGACATACCGAGATGGAAATAAAAGGGCGGAGCAAATCGCACGGAAGTTTGTGAAGGCTTGTAAGAGGGAAAACGGGGGATGAAAAAGGGATTAAGAGATGCGTGTGAGCACAATGTGAGGAATACGCAAGAGTGGAGTGAAACGCAAGTTCGGAAGAGCGAACTCGAAATGAACAAACAAAAGGAGCAAAGATGCGTGGTGGGGGCCAATTACATCCGAGTCGAGGTCGCGCATAAAAAAAAGAAGAAAAAAGAAAAAAAGGGCAGAAAAAATTAAAAAGAAAACTGCAATGCCGCGTGAAGTTCAGTCATGTTAAAGAAAGCAGTGTTATATACGCCGTATACAGATCGAGCGAGTCTGTCGACACGAGGAAGAGGCAACGTACGTAGCGGAGAGATCCATTGCTCCAGTTTTAACCCCTTTGGTCGGGCACACGGCGGCCGAGATCGATGAGGGCTGGTATAATCCCGCATAATACTTGTCAGCTGTACAGGGACCGGAGCCGAATGTTGACATGCGGTAGTAAGTTGCCTGAATGAGTCATCTTTTTGCCGAGCCTCATCTCGTTTGCTATTTTAATTGATCGAGCTTTTCACTTTTTTCAATTTCTTTTTCGCCTCCCGGAATTTACACGAGAAGACGTCGAGGAAGAGATTTCTTTCATTCTTGTGAGAAAGAAATATAAAATCAGAATCAAAATCGGAGTCACTTATTTTGATTTCCTGGCTCGTTATTCTCATTAGTTAGTCAAAGTGCTTTTTGAATTTAATTTATAACATCGATAACGAAAAGTAGTCGCAGGGCGGGGCCCGAACGTTGCACCGAACGTTGCCCCGCGGCTCGCCCTCATTCCAGCACATTTACGTCCATGTTACATCATGTTTATTATTTATCTGTTACATGTTTGATTCCCGATATGATAACGATAATAACGAAGGCGAGGTCAGGGTGGAGTCGGGTGCATTGCCCTCGATATAAAATGCAACGACATCCCCATTACGTCATACGACGTTATTTATCGGAATTTCTCGCATTTTTCAAAAGTACGGCTGTCTCGATCAATTCCGATTGATGACAACAAGAGAGAAAGAGAATTCCAAACATACTCTCCTCGATAATACGTTGGCATTTTTTGTATATCATATTTATGAAAATCCCTCAGAGCTGCTTATTCAAATTTATCGAAACGCAGTATTTTAATATCGTTGATTTATTATTGGGAGAAATTTTCGAAATTTTTTATTAACGAAGAAAGATTCTCCAATGAAAGATATAGGAGATTTTATCGCTATCTGATAATTGCCAAGGAGGGTGCCTTATGTTTTAGAGGTGAACCATCCGTCCTATATAATCTATTAAAATCTTTTACGAGGGCGTACCGACAGAGCACCTCATCCTCACCCTGGAAACATCGAAACAACGCATCCCCCCTGTTCGTCGTCCTGAACGAGCGCGAGCGAGATACTTTGCATGCTCGATTCCAATTCATGAGAACGATAACGAAAAGAGTAGGTCCACGGGGCGGGGTCGCCTGAAACGGTCGCTCGCTCGCTCGCGCGCGCTGCCTCGGCGTGCCGCGTGGAGGAGTCGAAAGAAATGGACGAAGGGTAGCTAGAGAGCTGGATCGGTGTGGGCGCAAGGGAGAAGCGCGAGCGGAGGGCGATGAACCCGCCGCGGCGGCAGGCAGCTTCCGTCGCCTGGCAACGTCCCCACTTGGCCTTCCCCTCCATCGGCACCATTGGTACACTACGCATGCACGCACACGCACACGTACCTGCATACACACATACACAAATCACTCATATGCACACTGCTGCATCGCGCGCGTGTGTGCATGCGTATATACGCCTCACGTATGCATTGCACCGCGTGCTGGTGTATGATGATTCTCTTTCTCTCTTACTCCCTCTTGTCCCCGTCATCGTCGTAGTCACCCTCGTTGATCGTAGTCGTGGCCGCCGTCGTTTGCGCTGATATTGATCGCGCGGGATGGTACTGTGAACCGCCGCCGACGCTGACGCCGACGCCGATGTCGACGCCGACGTCGACGCCGTCGCCGATACCGACGTTTGCACGATGTAAGGACACATGCACTGAAAAAGTCGAAGGCAGGACAGAGGAACAATCTCGATGAAGGGAAATGAGGGAGAGAAAGAAAGGGAAAGAGAAACCATCTCTGTATGGGGCACAGATGTATCCAGGGTCAAAGTTCGGGGCGCTATCGATTAGACCGGACCGTTTATGTTAGGTCCAGATAAAGCGAGGGCGTTCGAAGTGGCGTAGCATCGATCGCTTTTGATTACGTTCTATTTAGAGCAGAAGCTAATGGATCCCTTTAAACTTTCTTGGCAAATTTATGGAGCACACGGCCCATGAAAATATGACATCAAAATCGAAGCAAATTGCGAGCAAATTTTATTTCTCTTTTGTCACAATCAAGAGACAATTAATTAATCACGCAATCATGCAAAATGTAGCATGCAATTATTGTTGACTAAAAGCAAATAATGAAAACAAAATAACATGATACAAATAAATAACACTTCACGATCATTTAACGAGAGACTTAAATAAAATCATAATAGATGAAAAAAAATCACATAAAAAAGTAAAATATTTTCTCATGCCGAATTTGCGTTTGCGTTTTATAATTAAATATAAATATATATTTAATATATAATTCATACATCCCATAACTAAGTTGCAAAACTTCTCTTCCACATTTCTCTGTGACATCGAGTAATTTTCTTAATGAAAATTCTTAGGGGAATATCCTGAAAAAAGAAGTGTCCGTGTCTAAGCATTCTAAATATACGCCTTCGTTCACCATGAGTTACAAATCAGCTTGGTCCATGCCACGCGACAATACGCCGCGTCGCGCAATCTATGCATATATCCGATCCCTCATTCATCCTAATGGACCAAAAGCGTACTGTTTCCACGCCACGTTACGTCGGTCGATGCGTTCCAACGCGACGGATGTCGCCGGAAGATTTGCATGTGTATGCCGTGGACGTGCGTCGCGTGGCACAGTATAATTGGCTACTTACAGTTGTGCCCACAGCACCGGCACACAAATAAAATTGATTTCACGAAACATGTGTGTGATTTGCATTTCGTATTTCTACATAGGAACGCCAACCTATCAACCGTTTCGACATCGAATTGTTAATCTCCGCGCGAAAGAAATTTCTCTCCTCTTCTTCCTTTCATCACACGCCGCATTCTTCTCCCGACTAATTTTTTTATCGTTAATTGAAAAAGGCGGAGAGATTCTAATTCGATTGTTTCGCCGAATGCGATCGACGAATATCGAAAGTAGAGAAGAGATGGATAAAATTGAGATTTATGTGGAAAAAAATTGGACATTGAGTCAACAACATCAAGTATAACTTGATGAGTAATTTTATTGATTCAAATTTGATATTAAAAAATAAATATGTATATATATTTCTTTCATTAAAACTACTATTGAAGAGAATTAGATTATTTTTAATTACACTTGATGTTGACTCATTCTTTTTGCAATGCAAATTTAAAAAATCAAAAAGAAAATTGATCATTAATTCATTAAAGTGATTCATGAATCACTCGGGAAACACGCTTTGTTGCGATGTAACGATCGTGAGAAGTCTCGTCAAGTTCTTTTAAAGCTCGTTCATATATGTTAAAAGTTTTCAAGGTATCGTGGTAATAAAAGGATTTAACACATTCGTGCGATCACAGGCGACATACATCGTCGTACATCGCGCGTAACGCACGAATATCGAATGTGTTAAAGCACTTTTAACCGGCGACACGAAGATAAAATAAAAACGAGAGACGAGTTGAACACGCATGGTATCACTTGGTGTCGTAGTATCACGTCGCTCGGATCAAGTAGATCGCTAGCTCAGCTAACTTAGCAGATAATCCTTGGCTTTAGCCTACTGTATTCAAAGTGTTAGGCAGCGGACGTAAATTAGCAACCGCAAGCGGTCGTACCACGAGCACCGCGCTATTAAAAGTTATATTCTTCTTGCGAATTATCGTTCTTATTTTACGTCAAAGTAATATCCATGTTTCTTCTTTTTATATTTCCACCGCATCAGCGGTATCTCTAATGACGAGCAACAATGTCCTTCGCATATATTTTAAGTCGACCATACATTTGAAATAATTGAAACAATATATTATCTTTTTTCTTACAAAAATACGGAAAGAATATTTTTATTGGCAAATCTAGATATTTAGCCGGATACAGATTTGAAAATAATTTTGTTAGGCCTTCAAAATTATTATGTATGACGTTCAAATTGATTGCCAGAAGGTTAAACATTTTTGCAGCATTGTTATCATGT